GGACAAGAAGATGTGGTCTGTCCACACAGTGGAACACCACGCAGCCACAGGCAGACAACCTCGGGCACGGCCAGGTCAATGATGCGGCTTGGGAACACACTCGTAAGCGACGGATGGATAAGAAGATGTGGCTTGTCCACAGTGGAGCACCACGCAGCCACAGGCGGACAACCTCGGGTAGGGCCAGGTCAATGATGTGGCTTGGGAACACACTCGTAAGTGACGGATGGACAAGAAGATGTGGCTTGTCCACAGTGGAGCACACGCAGCCACAGGCAGACAACCTCGGGCACGGCCAGGTCAATGATGCGGCTTGGGAACACACTCATAAGTGAAATGCACCAGACGAGTGTGTGCAATACAGCGCTGTTTCTCTGGTGTGAGAAACTGAAAGTGTAAGTAAGAACCAAAATGTATGATCGATACTGGGAGACAATGGGAAAGGGGAACTATGGGAGGAGGAAAAGCACAAACAGAACTTGTAAATAGGGAGGGGAAGAGAGACTGAAGGAGGAGAACGAGGGGAAAAGAATCTCAAGATAGATCATGAACAGGTACAAATTCCCTCTGATGAACATGACCATTACATATATCTAAAATGTATCAATACTTCCGATTTGATTTGAAACTGTCTCATTGCTATCTGTTTATCAATAAAACTTTGAAAAAATAAATAAATAAATAAATAAATAAAATGTATCAATAAGCTTACTTATTAAGAGGGCGAGAAGCCAAACTAAAAGACCGGTGCGCACTGCGTGGACCCGGAGTACGTGGGCATGCAGTGCAGTACAGGCCCTTCCTCCTCCCTGACTCCCTGAAGGTGAGCAAGCACAGAGGGCGCCCCTGGACAGGGCCTCCAGAGGGCGCGGGGTGGCAAGGGTGAGGGACGCTGGCAGTGCCCAGGGAGGGACAGCGCCCAGGCGGGGCAAGGGTGACCCAGAGTCCCTCGGGCCCGAAATCCCATGACTCAGCCTGGTGGCATAAGGGCCAGGTGCAGCCCAGGACAATGACTAGTGGCCCACGTGTGATGGGAAAGATCCCAGGAGGCGGCTCCGCTGGTCCTCATCACCCAGAGCCCTGAGAGCCTGAGCTCAGTGTTTCAGGGTCACAGAGGGGGTGGTGTGGCAGGGGCAGGGGACACATGGGGGAAGGAGGAACATGGGGGGGCAGCAAGGACCCCCTCTCCTGCCCCTGTCCCCACATTCAACACTTTCCGCACTGTGACTCACCACAAGCAATGAGGGAGTAGACCTGGGACCCGGGGACCTGCAGCAGAATCCGAAACGGGGCGACCCGCGCGTTGGAGTCCAGCACTGCGTCCAGAGCGCCGACCAGGCGACCTTGGGGGAAGAGAAGAGGCCGCGTGAGCTGGGGCTGCAGGCGTCGCCGGCCCAGCCAAGGCCGCCACCCTTTTCCCTTGCGTATTAACAAGCACCCTGTGGGACGGCAGGGCCACTTCGCATTCCTCCAATATTCACTCCTTTCTGAGCACTGTGGCCTCACGCTCGTCGGGTGCCAGCCCACTACGGTCTTCATTTGGGCGCTCACGCTGCCCCAGGCCGGGCAGACGACCCTCGGGCTGGTTTCTGTGTCCCGCAGACTTCTCCTTGCTGGGGTTTTTTTGAGACAGGGTTGGTCTCACTCTGTAGTCCAGCCTGGCCTCAAAGTTGTGGTCATCCCTGGCCTCCCCAGTGCTGGGACTACAGGCATGTGCCTCCACACCAGGCTGTTTTCACTGTGTTCAACATCTTCTAGGAAAATATTCCACGTTTGCCAGGTGTGGTGGCAAATGCTTGTAACCCTGGCACTAGGAGGCTGAGGCAGGAGGACCGCTTTGCACTCAAGCCTGTCCACGGCCACAGAATAAATTCAAGGCCAGCTTAGACTACAAGTGAGACCCAAAATCCTAAAACAGAATTCCAGCTGCTCCTGGACATTCCCTGCTCTGGCCCTGGAGCGGGCCGTTTCTCCTAGACCTCTGTACCCTCTGTGAAGCATGTGTTTATAAGCCAACATCTGGGCTGTGTGCTCACCACCATGCAGTGGAGAGGCTGGGGACTGTCTGTGTGGACACACACTCCTACTAGTAAACACAGGCACACACGTAGCTGACACAGCACATTTGTATCTCACAGAAAATCTACACCTGGAAAGATGGAGCTGACCCTGGCACCCCGGTGCAACCCACGACCCTGGCATCCACTTTCATCTTTTCCAGCACAGAGAAGAGTGGACCAGACTGTGCTGGTGGCGAATTCCCTCATCTTCCAACCCTCCTGTGGGGACCAGGGTGCCCCTGGTAGAGCCCCCCACACTTCAGCAGGCACCAGCCATGGACTCAGTTCTACATTGCTGGGTCACCCGCCCAGGGACCTTCCTTGGGGGAGGGAAAGGACACGTGGGCTTTTGCAGCAAACACTCTGCATGGAGGGCTTGCCTCCTTCCTGTCTGCTGGGGAGCCAAGGAAAGGAAAGCTGCGCGCAGAGCAGACCTCACCGGACCAGACCAAGGAGCTAAGAGCGTGGCGCTAAGGATGGTCGGGACCAGCAGCAGGCCGCAGGTGAGGTGTAAAGTGCTGTCCGCAAAAGGCTGGGGCAGCAACAGAGGTGACTGAGGGACACAGGAGCTGAGGAGCCCCATGCTGTCCACACATACACATGTGGTACTTCCAGCTGAGGGACCTGCTGCGTCCACTTCAGTGAGACGCGACAAGGGTGTGCAGCACAGCCCAGGTGCATGAGTGGGGATCCCCAGTGCAGGGCTGCAGCTTTCTCTCTCTGAGAAACCCTAGGGGTCCTAGATGTCTTATGCCAATACCCGCCAACCAGCAGGAGGAAGGCAGGGGTGGCAACCAGCCACAAACTGACTTCTGGTTTTAGCTCCAGTAGGTAAAGTGCTTGGAAGCCCTCCCTCCCATCCATGCAAGAAAAAGCTGAGCAAGCCAAATGTGTAGGGCCTTCCTGTAACCCCAATCAGTATTCAGGAGGCTGAGGCAGGAGGACTGCTGATGGTTCCAGGTCAAGTTGGGCTGCATAGTGTGTTCAAGGCCAGCCTAAACCACAAAGTGAGATCCTGCCTCAAAAAAAAAAAAAGACCAGACCAAGCATCATGGACTTTTGGACACTTCAGAGAACTGAGGTTACAAGCCAACCTACAACCCAAAGTCTAGAGACCTTCGGTAGAATCCAGAAATCCCCAGCCAGGCTCTGCTTCTGGGGTGTTGGAACCATCAACCCAAGGGTGCCTGACTGGTGGTTCTGACCAGCTGCCAGAGCTGAGCATGAACTAGCACAGGAGTGAGGAACTCCTGCCGGCCGCTGTCTTTAGGAACCAACCCTGCGTGGGTCGGGGTGCGGTGGACTGACAAAGGGCCTCAGCACTAAGCTACACCCAGCCCTTCTTTATTCTGAGGTCTAAGTGGCCCAGCTTGTGAGCCTCCTGCCTAGGTCTCCTAGTGTGTACCCAACACTGGCCTTGTCTTAGTCACCGTGAGGTGTCGGGGACAACCGCTGTCGGGCCCTGTGCAGGAAGAGTGGCCACTATATAATAGCGAGGCCAGCATTTCTGTGACATCAAAATCAGAGTTAAACAAAGCAAACAAGAGACTAATATTTCACTTGCAAAAACAAAGTCCTCAGACTGGAGAGATAGCCTGGCAGTGTAAGCGCCTGCCTGGAAACTGCACGGTCCGGAGTTGGATCCCTGGTACTGCATGTCGTGCAGGCCCCAGAACCTGCCCTGAAGCCAGGTGTAGTGGTACAAGCCTCTAATCCCAGTGCTGGACAGCCTGAGACAGGAAGATCACTATGAGTCTGAACTGCATAGCAAGACCCTGTATCACGCAACAAAAGCGAACAAAAAATCCCCAACAAGATATTGTCAGACAGAATACAAAAATATAGAAGATGAATTGGACACAAGTCAGTAAGGGAGGCTGACTCCAAGCATGTGAGGATGGCTCAAGTTCAGAAAAACGTTCAAATGCATTGCATCAGCGGGCTAAAGTCATGGTTGTATCAATTAACCCAGAAAATGCATCTGACAAAACCCAACACCCACTCACGATTTTCAAAAAAACTCAGCTAGCTACAAAGCCAGAACTTTAGCTCTTGGTAAAGAATATCCACACCCACTCGAAACACAAAAAGAGAACCTTTGGTTAACACCATACTAAATGAGAAACTGAACTCCCCACTGAGATCAGGAACAGAGTAAGATTGTTTTCAATATCATTCCTAGTTAACATCAAACTGAAAGGTCAAGCTTATAAAGTACAACAAAAAGAGGAAATAAAACTACACCGCTAGGGAAGGAGGAATAACACTTCCCAGATGACGCGTCCCTGTGAAAACATCAAAGGCTCAAGAGAAACTTACGGAAATAATAAGCAAGGAGAACAAAGCTGCAGGAGGTAAAGCTGCAGTCACGGGACAGATGCTGCCCTGTACACCAGTAATGAATGCCCCAAGTTGGGGGAAAGTATTTATTTACCACCTGCCACAGTAAACGGTAACTGTGTGGGGCATAAGCTTGACTACGCATAGATCTATATGCAGACAATGACAAAGTTGCTGAAAGAAATCAAAGGAGAGTCCATGGGCTGGAAGATCCAGTCCTGTAACGGTATCAATCCCTTCCAATTTTATCTATAGACAGTATAAACCTAATACAACTCCCAGCATGCTTTTTTATAAATACTGACCAATGAATTCTAAAGTTTATATGAAAAAGTAAAGACTGCTGAGCGTCATGGCGCACGCCTGTAAGCCCAGCACTTGGGGGGCCGGGGCAGAAGCTCGCCAAGAGTTCCAGCCCAGCCTGGGCTACAAAGTGAGTTCTAGGCCTGAACTGCATAGTGAAACCTTAACTTGGAAGGGAGGGGAGGGGAGAGGGAGAGGGAGGGGAAGGGGGAAGGAGAGGAGGGAAGGAAGAGGAGAGGGAGGGGAGGGAGGGGAAGGGAGAGGGGAGGGGAAGGGAGGCAAGTGAGCAGGGAAGTAAAGACTGATGGAGGGAATCCTGAGGCACGGCCTTGGAGAGCTCCCAGGGTGATCTAAAGTCTTACTACAAAGCTACAGCAGAAATCCAAATAGTGTGGTCATGATGATAAAATAGATACACACACCAGGGGGATAGCACACAGCCCCACACAATGCAGTCCCCCCGCTGCTGATGAAAGAACAGTGTGGGGGAGGGTGACCCTCCCCAACAAATGGCTCAGAACTGGACGTTTACTACAAAAGAGCCATCGGAGACCACAGACCTCACACCTGTCACCAAAGCGAACAAATGGAACCCAGGAGGACTTGGACTTAAATGGAAGCTGTGAAACCTGCAGGACACAGGAGAAAACCCAGACGGTCTAGGTGAGTTTTCAGAGGTGACACAAAAGCACCATCCATGGAGGAAGGAAGACTGATACTAGACTTTACAATGAAAAACTTTCACTTTGCAAAGAGCACAGAAGAGCCAGGAGTGGTGAGGATGCCCGTCAGGAGCCACAGGAGGCTGACATGGGAGGATCGCTTGGGGGGTGTTCGAGACCCCTCTCAAAAATAAATAAAGATAAGAATAAAAAGACAGGGCCAGCCAGATAGCTCAGTGGATTAAAGCACCTGCTCAGGGACCAGGTTCGATCCCATGCTAGTGCCAGCCCCTCCCCCGGGGCACACTGAGACAGCGCTTGAGACTGCTTGCGTGGTGGAGCGCCCCTGTAATCCCAGCACCCGAGAGGCTGAAAAAACAGGAAGAACCAGTATGAGTCTGATCTCTGCAGTGAGAGCCTGTAGACGCTGTATTAAATACATTTTGTAATTTTTTAAAACTTTTTTAAATTTTTTTTTTGCAGAAGCGGGGATTGAACTCAGCCTCTTGCACTTGCCAGGGAAGCGCTTATTCCACTGAGCCATCTCCCCGGCTCTAAATACATTTTTTTTAAAAAGGCCTAATTGAACATGGAGAAAGATCAAAGCTACACCCCCACTGAAGACAAACACACAGCAGCAACTGCGTGAGAAGCTGCTCAGCACCCTCCTGCCAGGCGGGGACTACAAATTAATAGATCAGAAGGTGCCTCGTCAAGTGACAAAAACCCTAAAGCTGATACCGGCTTTTGGCGGCAGCGAGGGAGCTAGGCCAGCTGGGACTCCAGGAAGGGTTCAGGCAGACGTGGCCCGGGCCTTTCCAGCAAGCTAAACGACCTCATTCCACCACCTGTGCTCACACTCCTAGGTACTTACCCAAGCCGAAGAACACCCATGTCCACAGAAAACCTGCATGCCAGTGTGGATGGCCGCTTGGTTCATAACTGCCGAAACCTGCACCAACCGAGGTGTCCTTCGAT